ATCACGGATCCCACTAGAGATGATGCCATTCTAGACCTTGTCCTTTCAGACTTGCCTGGACATGTGACCACTTCTATCTGTAAGCCCCTTGGACGCTCAGACCATGCGGTCATCATCGCAGACTTCTTGACAGTTTCTCCCGCAGAGGAGGAGAGCTCTACTAGAACTGTTTTCTTACAAATCATCGCCGAAGTCGCACCCGCTACTTCGAACTGTTGTGCCCAGCGCTGGCTTGCGACTAGTTGGTTTGGAGGTGACAGCGTTGCGAATGACCGAGGGTCCTCGACGTCTGTCTCACCGTCCAGGAGCGACGCTGACTCACGCTGCTATCTGGTGCTCACGAGGTGTTTGTCGCGCTGCAAACGGAGAGTCTCTGTAAGTTTGTACCCCTGGTGATGTTTGTGCCTGGAGAGCACTATATAAGTGGTGCTCTTCAGGCACAATCTTCCTCAGCCTACTCAAGCTCAACTGATGAGGGGTGAATTCCCGAAACACTGTGTATTGAGCAGGGAGTGGTGCTTTCTTCCAGGTTTGCCGAGTCGAAGGTTCGATGGACTTCTCGTGTGCTCTGGATGGCAGTTGTGAGTCAGTCAAGTGTCAAGTAAAGTGGGCGGAATAGCGCGAGCTCCGATGTGGGGAGCAAACCCCTTTCTTACAAATCATCGCCGAAGTCGCAACCACTTCTAATAAAAATAATAATAATAATGTGGAGAATGAGCTATTTATGTCGTAGTAAATAAGAGGCTGCACGGATCTTAAACAGGCGGAGTGAGGTCAGATCCTTAACTTCTCTGGGTAGAGTGAGCCAAACAGATCAAGCAATAAAGAGGGGGAGCGGAAAAGTGTGGATGAGTTACTTTTTTGCGTGGCAAATAGTTGTAGTCGGTGATGAAATCAGTCACTGGTGTTAAGCGCTCCTCTGATATCCAAACCCTGATCGATGCACATGGGTAGGAATGCGCAACCAACCTGGCAAAGGCAATTTGCTTTGGCTCTTCTTTTCCAAGGAATGCAGTCTTGCCTCCGACATATCAGTGGACAGCCTGCCTGCTGCCTTTGGTGACAGTGAAACTCCAGCAATCACAAGGATCCATGTCCGGGCTCACACAGTACGACAACATCTGGCATGACTCGACTTCTCCAGCGTCACTGGACCGGACAATATCGCAGCTAGAGTAGTCAAGGAATGCGCAATTGAGCTTGCGGGGCCCCTAACACGCCTCTTCTCTCTGTCTTTCAGTACTGGCCTCCAACCACAGGCGTGGAAGGTTGCTCGAGTAGTTCCAAATCCGCTGAAAAGAATTACCGACCAGTCTCGCTGCTCTCTACATGTTCCAAAGTAATGGAGTCCATCATGAACCGCCAGTTAATGAACTTTCTGGAGGGACAAAACCTCCTATCAGCAAGGCAATTTGGCTTTCGCCGAGGCCTAGTTTAATCCAATCTACTTATGGGACTACACCACAAGTGGTCGACTACATTTGGCCTTGGTGGATCTGTGGAGTTGCTTGCTGTCGACATCGCCGGGACTTTTGACAAAGGCTCCTCCCACACAGATGTACTGCACAAGTTGCGGAACATCGGTGTGAAGGGTGCCCTCCTGGACTGGCTTAGAGACAACTTCGGAGGTAGTTTGCTGGAAGTGGTCATTTGCGGCAAGAGCTCCGATTGCTATCCCTTTACTGCAGGAGTACCGCTGTTATGAACCCTCTGGGTCTAAAAGTATCAGGAACGAACGACCACACGGCACGAGGACAACTATTTATTCTCAACAGTATATTGCACTTCCATCGACTAATAATAATGAACAATGAATAACTAACACCAAAACCACCAGGTAGTTATAGCGTTAAAATGACAGCGTATATGAGAAAAGCATACACATACAACATACAACTACAGCGCACACAGCAAAACCGCACATAGCGCATGTAGCGTATACCACGTCGCAAACATCAGCGGCACGGCGGAGTCGGGATACAACTGCATTGGAACGAACACAATGTCACAAAGCTAGAAGGCCTTTCACTTTTGAGAACTTGTGGTTTCACAACATTCTCCCCACCAAAGGCCTTCTCACCGCCGTACAACAACTCACGAGTCAAAAGCGACTGGGGCTCTGACTACACCCCCAGAACGAGTTATCCGCTGCTGTGACGGTGGCCAAGGTGGAATATCACTGCTGCTCACCACTTCGGCCATATCGATTTCGCAAAGCTTGCCGCTGAGGGCTGTCATACACGACACTGTCACCGATCCACTTCGACATGGGACGGACGCTGGACCATACAACACACAACCAATAATTATTATTTCACCAAGCTTGCCGATCTGGGCTGTCATACACGACACAGTCACTGGGCCACTGCCTCGTGGGGCGGACGCTGGACCAGATAACATACATCCACTCTCTGTGTTCCACACAGTCTCGCCGCTCACTTCGTCCGTGCTAACCAGTATCGCCCTTCTCATTTCCTTAGCTTCTACGCCTTGCGCTTCTACGTCTCGCGCTTCTGCGCCTTACGCTTCTATGTCTTGCGCTTCTACGCCTTGCGCCTCTACGCCTTGCCCCTCTACGTCTTGCGCCTCTACGTCGTTCGGCCGAGACTCCAGCTGCTTCTGAGCGTCTCCGACCGATGTCGCCATGCACTGCACCGACGCAGTGGGCCTTGGATCTGATCCTCCCACTGGCTTTAAATACTCCTCTGACCGATGCTTGTCTGTAGGCAAAGTCTTCCACGCCTTGTCCGGCGTCCTACCGAGCGAGGCAAGCAATTCTCGCTTTGCTTCCTCATATTTACTGCTGGCGATGCGCTCGTTCATCTTCTTGAGCTTTTCGTCAAACTCTGTGCGGAGCGCACCCTCTTGCCGTCTAGCACTGCGCTCTTCAAACTCCTCGAACTGTCGGAGCCTCTTCTTCACATGTTCCCTCAACTCATCGCCTTCCAATCCTAACAGAATTCCATAGGCGATAAAGCGGGCTTCAATGATCCATAGTTCCTGTGCCATGCTCGCTTCGTATCCTGGCCTGGTCGCCAAATGTTGTGAACCCTCTGGTTCTCTTAAGTATCAGAAACGGACGACCACGCGGCTTGAGGACAACTATTTATTCTCAACAGTATATTTCACTTCCATGGAATAATAATACTGAACAATGAATAACTAACACTAAAACCACTAGGTAGTTATAGCGTTAAAATGACAGCGTATATGAGAAAAGCATACACATACAACATACAACTACAGCGCACACAGCAAAACCGCACATAGCGCCTGTAGCGTATACCACGTCGCAAACATCAGCGGTACGGTGGAGTTGGGATACAACTGCATTGGAACGAACACAATGTCACAAAGCGAGAAGGCCTTTCACTCTCGAGAACTTGTGGTTTCACAACAACCGCAATACAGCATCTTTGGACCGTCCCTGTTCCTAGTAGATGTTTGTTGTTTGTTTGTTTGTATTCTGTATTTATGTAAATGCTGCTGAAAGCTGCCTGGCTCCAGGGTCTGAAATGGGAACATTTGCAAACGACACCACGCTATATGTCTGCATCAATACACGCGACGATACTATACACCAAGCTGACAGTCTCCAAGCTTCGGTCAATGCGTCACATGCATGGAGAACAAAGTGGCATGTTTTAAGTTTGAACCATCCAGGTCGCAGCTCCTATGAATCTCTTGCTATCGACAGCAGCCCTGATATATCCCCACCATAATCGTTGTAAAAAACCTACGTACAAAATCCTCATTTTCCACAAAGTGATTGGTGAATTCGCTTTAGAAAAATCAACTTTCAAATGCATTTTTCTCAGTTCTGCGTGAAATGACATAAGCCCCCTTTTCGGATCTAGAGGCTCGCTTACCTCAACAGCACCACCTCAAAGTTGTAAAAAAGCACCACCGAAACTAAGAAATATGTTGACATCGAAGTTAAGCGTTCAAATTACTGCCGTTTGCTTATTTGTTGAGTTACACAGAAAACACCCCTTGGAACGCCCTTTCGGAGACGGTTCCAATGATATATGTGGGACTCTGATTCCAGTCAGGCCTCTCATAGCAGTCACTACCCCTAATACCAGTCACCAGTCACAAGCAAGTCAAAGAGAGCAAAAAACAAGTCACCAGCTTTGATACATGAAATGGGTAGGTTGCCATTTGAAGGTATGGAGAAGGAATGCGTTCAAAAGTATGCTTTTCAGCGCCGATGTATGACATGGGTAGGTTGCCATTTGAAAGTATGGAGAACGAACGCATTCAAAAGCATGCTTTTCAACGCAAACAATGTTCCCTATTTCGATCATGTTCTCACTCCGTTTTGCTGCTTATAGGGATGATATAGCTTGTTCCAGTTGAGGTAAACGTCTTCTAGATGTGGTGGACGCTTGGAGAGATCAGCTGTGGCGATGTCGGGACGGAATGCGACTCAAAATTGCAAATTTGTATCGCTGATCCCATCGCAGTATTCGCTCTCCAAACAGGAGCGAGAGGGAGGGCAGCGATGGCCTAAAATCGTCACGGCAGGCGTAATTCACCAGCCAGCGACTGCTTCTTGTCTTCTCTTTCACTTACCTTACGCTCGATGTGAGTAGATGAAGAAAAATATTGATATCCAATCGGACACAATAATTGGAAATAATAATTGGACACCTAAAGCATGCAGTACTACTTGCACGCTAAACAGGCATGACTGATTGTATTCGGACTCTGTGCACGCGTTATCGCAAAGAGGGAAAGTCGCGGCATTCTGTGACTGGTTTGTGGGCAACACAGCTGGTTTCTCAAAAGACGCAAACTGTGACTGGTGTGTGAGTGATTTTGATTGTATGACTGACTTTGGGGACCGTGACTGCTATGTGGGACGTGACTGCTATCGGAGTCCAACATAATTATATGTTCCTCATACTCATTGCCCAGACCCGATGGAGTCTCCGTGACGAGAACATTCGTCATGAACCAGGAGAGGGTTAATGGGTGAGACTAATATTGTTACTTACCGGTTGATGTGTTATCCCTTTTGCTGAACCCATTCTTGCACTCACACGTGTAGTTTCCTGGCTGATTGACACAATAGCTGCTGCTAGAATCACATATATTAACTCCGTCACATTCATTGATGTCCTCGCATAAATCTGAAGGTAAGAATAGAAAAGTTCAACCAAAAAACATAACATAATATAACTTTATAATTATGAAGAGTCGGCTTGAAGAAAGCAATTTTATTAGTGCAATATAGAGTATAATAGATGCAGACATTATAATCAAATTGTTACACATCACTCTCTCAAATCACATATATTTGAGTTTGTGTACGTGCTGATGTGACATTGAGTCGCGTGATAACACATACAGTGTCACACATTGAGTGCGAGATTAGAAATATTGATATTATCACTTATGTGTTAAGTTAGAAGTCATCTTGCATTGTGTTCAGGTTATCATCAATATATAAGGTCAAGCATTGGAACGGGGTGGTGAACCCAGGACCCAGGATAGAAGCGGACCAGGCATCATGACTTTGCACATCTATCATTATGCTGCTTTATTACGCGACCTGTTTTATTATTATTATTATTATTGGAACAATAAATCAGTTCAAAGTCTGATCAGGACACAACATGGCGCAGTCAGACCCGAATGCGGCGGGAACAAGCCCGACAGATCACGTCAAGAAGGACGACCCCTCCCACAGGTAATTCAGCTGAACAACTTCAAGCGTCAGCCCAGCGCGAGGAGCACTTAGGAATATTGTTGGAAAGGACACTGCACGACGGAAACGGTCAAAGAGAAAATGATGACAGAGCAAGACAGCACAAGACAGTAAACTGCAGTGACCGTCCTATCCGGAGAGCGAACGCCAGTTTCGCAGACTTTGTCGTTTGGAAAGAGGCATGGTCTGACTTCGAAGTGTGTCAAGGCATCAGGGGAGCAAAGGAAGAAACACAGAAGGCGGTTCTTAGATAATGCTCGGAAGAAAAACTGCGGAGATATGCAGGGCAAGGAGTCATAGTATTGCACGAGCAATCCACGGTGGATGGCTGTCTTCAAGCTCTGGAAGTCTTCATCAGAATGTTTTGCTTGATCGCATGGAATTCTACCGAACATGCCAAACAGGGGGAGAGACATTCACCAGCTTTCACGCCATCCTCAAGGAGTTAAATGCAGCGTGTAATTTCCAGAGCCCCTTGGAAGCCGTTTGCCATGATTGTAGGACTACAATTGAGGGTAGTGAGTGAGCACTGCAACACACGCGTGAAGCAAGTTCACTCTGAGACTATGAGGGATAAAATCCTCGTAGGAATCAGAAGCGATGGAACCCGGCATAAACGTCTCGCGAAAGCAGAAATCACGCTAGAGGAAGCGATAGCAATATGTCATGCAGAGGACGCTGCAGCGCAGACGCAGTCAGGTGTGGAACAAACATGCCAGGAGTTACAGATCAAAGCTGTGAGGAGATCCCAGTACAAGAAGGAGAAGTTTGCAGGCAACCAGGAACAGAAAACACCATCGAATCCGCCGGAGAAACAAACAGCCACCCAGTCAAGGTGCAAGAAGTGCGGGTTGCCACATCCGACAGTGATCAGATGCCCGGTTGAAGGACGAACAAGCCATCGTTGCGGGGAAGTGGGCCATTTGAAGAACGTTTGCAGCCAACAAGGAACGCAGCAAAAAAGAAACCGAGTGGGACGAATGTCTCTACAACGGGTCTCGTTGGAAGAAAGTGACACGATCAGACTAAAAGACAAATCAGGACAATAAAAATTTAAAAAATTGATTCGACGGGTTCGCGTACCGGGCAGGTCAAGAACAAGAAGTCGTACAACTGAGGCAAGCACAGTGGGTTGGTCTAAGATCATGATTGAGGAACGAGAGGTACCAGGTTCACGTCCTGCTTGGAAGCGGAAGGAGTTTTCCAACAGTGCTGCGACCCACAGTTAATTGAGAGCTCTTGGACTGGCATGAGTAAATCATGGATGTGGCAAATTGGATTTAGGCCTTTGGCCTATGGCTGGTGGATCTGATCTATCCTCCTCCACCGTTTAGGAGCCGCATCTGACACCTGATCATGGGGTGGTGGCGTCAGACCGCGATGGCTCCTCTGGGGCAATTTCCAGGATAATGAAAGGGAATGAGCAGTATCGAGTTCTACCAAAGGTGGCAGGAGCGCGGGGAATCTTTTGGCTCTCCATGAACTATTACATACATGTGATTTGTCCTGATTTTAGGTATGCTGCATCTACAGCCAGGCGAGGTGTAAACACTTAAAGGCATCTCTGTTGAAGTTCAAAAACGATATGCTACCTGATCGCATCAAGTCACAGAAGTTTCCGCAGACGACTTGCGTAACAAGCTGCTAGCCCTCCCGAAGATAGATTTGTCTGGTATTCCCTCCAGTGGCCACGTACCCGCAATAGTCTAGCCGGCCCGCTCCCACGTAGCCGACGAAAGACACCAGCAGCTGGAAAGTGCCACGAATGTGATCCCAGTCCTAACACCAAGAGTCCAAGTCTTGCCAAGAAATGTACATACAATGGTTGCCAACTTGGCAAGGTGTCGTACATTTTCAGGCCATGTGTCCGGACAAAGGCAAGTCAACAGCACCCAGCACAGTGGGCTATTTGAAGTTGAGACGTGCCTCAGTTTGATATGGTTTGAGCCCACTGTACAAACGCAAGTGAACGTGGAACCGACCACTGAAGACATGGCATGGATTTCGAAAACCTGCAACGCTATTGGCGCCATTGATCAACATCTTTCCCGGCTAGGTGGCTTCCCTGAGAGCCTTGAAGTTGATATTGACACCGTGTCAGCAGCAAACGGCACCTCCTCAATTAGCATCGGAAAGATTGCAGCCATCGTCTCCCTTGGATCAGTCTAATCCACCACAATACCTCATATATATGAAGACCTCGACGAGGCGCTCCGGCGAAACGTATCACTGGGAGAAGGCGAAGAGAAAGAAGGAAGTGCGTCACAGCCAGGCGGAGTCGGCACGGCGTATCAGCAATGATGCGTCGGACGCCTTGCGACACACATTGTCCTCGCCAGTGAACCTGGCGCCTTGAGCTGGCTTTTCCGTCCATTGAAAAAGTTTGGCTTTTCACTGACCAAAGCTGAGTTCATGTACGGCTTGTGCCTCCGTTATGGTTGGATGCCGCCGAGGTTACCAACTCATTGCTCTTGTGGACGAGACAATGGTATTGACCATGCCTTGTCATGTCCCCTTGGTGGTTTTACCATTATCCGCCATAATGAGATCGAGGATGTGATAGCCTCTCTTCTTCAGGAGACCTGTCACAATGTCTCCATCGAGCCACCGCAGCAGCCACTCACTGGAGAGAGAATGAGATACAGGTATGCTATCGTGGAGGAGCATGCGCGGCTTGATGTAGCCATCAGTGGTTTGTGGGGCAGTCGTTTTCAACGTACTTTACTTGATATAATAATAATAAACACAGATCGCATCTTCACTGAACCTGTTAGACAGGAGCAGAGTCGACGCATCTGTCAACAGTGTCAAGCCAAGTTAGTCTATCTCCTGCAGCTTGGAGAGTGCTCTCCACGAAGAGATCCGCTGCCTTCAGGTCGTGCCGAATCTTATCTATCCACCGCAATGGCGAACGGCCACGTAGTACTTGATTTACGGGTTTTTAATCCTCATGCACGCTCAAATCGATGTGCAACACACACCACTGTCTATCGGCGCCAGGAAAAAGGTACCGACGATGCTATGAAGGGAGAGTGATAGAGGTGGAGCATGCGACGTTCATGCCTGTTGTGCTGTCGGCAAGTGGTGGCATGAGAAGAGTGGCGACATCACTTTATCGCCGAATCGCGTTATTGAGAACGGAAATGAGGAAGGAGCAGTACTCCCACGTAATATCTTACATCAGATGCCGTCTCTCATTTGCCCTGTTGCGATCATGCAGCATGCGTTTGCGGGTTTCACAGGGTCTTTTCCGTGAGCGAGCGTGTAAATTCGTAACTGATCATGGAAAAGAAAAGAGTTTTGGCAAGCAACTAAACAAGAATATTAATATAAAAGTAATTATTATGAATTTTGAACGTAATCTGTATCTATATGAAACTCGGATGTTGAGCCAAAAATAAATGTAGAAGAGAAAAGGACATATGGATACGAGTTAAGAGTAACTCTCCATCACTGTAACATGATACTTTATACAGTCAGAAAGTGCAATAACTAGGCACAAAACTGACAGAGTACTGAAACATTCGACGTCCTGACACCTAGCTTCAACACATCTCCGTAGCGCTAACCGACAGCCTTCCAACTTGGAAGGTTCAAATATCGTACTGGTCTCGTCATCGTCCAGTAACAATCGACATTCTTTGTTCCGTTGGGACTGTAGCTTTTGCTCGTTTTCGTTGCGCTTGCCTTCCCCTCTTTGGTCTTTCCATAACCTTGAACCTTCCAAGTTGGAAGGCTGTCGGTTAGCGCTACGGAGATGTGTTGAAGCTAGGTGTCAGGACGTCGAATGTTTCAGTACTCTGTCAGTTTTGTGCCTAGTTATTGCACTTTCTGACTGTATAAAGTATCATGTTACAGTGATGGAGAGTTACTCTTAACTCGTATCCATATGTCCTTTTCTCTTCTACATAATCTGTATCTGTGCTGCATTATCGAGCCATGCAAAATGTTAGCAGCTTGTGATTGGACGAATACAGTGTCTCACCTGCTATTTTCCTAGAACCAAGGGCTTTGAGAATATTCTTGGAACTTCTCAGTGTTATAGCTTGCCTAGTTTCTTTCTTGCACCCATATTAATTACACCGTATAAAATCAGTATGCCATGTCAATTACAATATCAGTACCACCTTCTCTGACGAGCCTTTGATAGGCGAAACAGGTGCCAGAAGGAATTATTATACCCCTGACCCCTTCGTTGTTTGAAGTTATTGGTGTGAGTAATGGCTACCGAGGGTAGCAATGGTCGGCTTTAGAGCGCATGGAGGAGTAGAGTTAGTTTCTTGTATTTTTATTGTAAAGCTTCCCTTTTGATCTTGTCTCTTATTGTTGTGAACAATTTCTGACATGCACCCACGCTTGAAACTCATATCGAACTTGTAAATACTTCGCGATCGGCTATGATTGGCTGATAGAATACTTATCACTATCACCTAAGGCAACAGTACATCTTACAGAGAATGAAGATAATGAGAGGAGGGGAAGAGAGAGATAATGCACCCGTTAGGTATGACGAATGTGAACAGCTGCTTACCTGTGCTGTAATTCTTTGCATATCCATTGGAACAATTACAGACGAAACCTCCTTTTTCAATATCTGTGCATGTTTGGCGTTTCGGTTGACAAGGGGAATCTGAACAATTGAAAGCTAAAGAAGTATGTTGAAATACAAGTGCACACAATATTACACTGCTTTGGTAAAGTCAAGTTACAGTGAGAGAGAATGTCTGGCAAAACCATAAGTATGAGTTCAAGTTGGTCTCTCCATCTACGCTGGAAGCTCTCAGATAGAATTCCTTTTGGGTGGAGATTGATTGCTTAAAATCCTTGAAAGAAGGAATCTTGAAACATGGCCTACCCGAAGCAAGTGACCCAAAATTCACAAGAAAAATAGTAAAGTGCTTCTCAGGAATCGCAACATGACTGTAGCCGGGGACCAAATTGGCGAGTTTCATGCACATAACATCTATGGTGTGAAACCCGTTTTTTGTGTTTGACTTCGCATTGCAGCCGCTACTGATGTTCCTGAAGTGGAGCTCTTTAAAGTGCTCTTTCAAACTGCAGCCAGAACCAGCGTCCCAATGGTTGAGATACAGCTAGATAGGAGCTCTATGCCACTCTGAAGCTCATCCCGCGCGAAAGCCAAATCTCTTCACCTCAGAGCCGCTGGACTTTTAGCTGCATTATCGCAATAGATTGTAATTCAAGAACGCACAACAACCTCAAGAAGACAATGGTTTGGTGATTCTTGAATAGAAGGTGGCCAGCCATCATAAATACATTGACCTACAATCTAAGCTAGATGGACACGTTGAAGTGGTTAAGAAGACAATAGTTTTGTGTCAAGCTGCCAGCAACCTGATGTATGCAACATGTGCTCAATGGTTCATGTCTGCATTCTGTAGACAGGAGTAAACTCCTTGGTCACTATCACCCTCAAACTCAGCCAACTGTTTTGGAAACCTGTGATGTCAATGAAAAACATTATAAAATATGGACTCACGTAGGCGGCAAGGCTCAGCGCGGAGGGTTATCCAGGTTCCTGGGTATTGACATTTCATGGTTGACTGTATTGCACTTTGATCATTCCGGAAATCAGTCTTGCACTTTACAGTCAACGTTGTGTTCTCTGCTGAAATAGTATCTGTCGAATATATTCCATTCCTCGGATTTGATGGCTGATTGAGTTTCTCTACAGATAAATTCCAGGGAAAGGGAAAATTACTACTACATCAAACATCGGTGTTCGATCAATGTACTTCAGCATGGGAAAAATGGTTAATATAATCATTTTCCTTGTTCGCGTTGACATCATCAAGCAAGCTTGGCTGGGAAGAGGAACGAGGGAAGCCAATTAGGAGCACACACGCATTCCACTGCAGGATAGGCAAAAGGGAATAAGTAAGGATCATCTAGGCAAAACGCACAAAATGTCAGCTTTTTAGTTCAACAGCGTTAAAATAATATATCTGGAAACGGGTTACTACAAAATGTCAACTATTTACTTCAACAAATAACACAGGAAAAGGATAATACAGATATCATTACAGCTGACGGTACATACATGTAAATGCAGTGGCAAAGCGACGAAATAGTAATGAGCCGTCAGATGCGAAAACAGACCTTATGGGAAAAAAATCATATTTGTGTTAGTGATACTATCTGAAAGCCAGGAGCATCAGGAGTCGTATGCAAAAAACTAGAGTTGATTTGGACCAAGGGAAGTAAAGTTATAGCCTCTACAATAGGAGACCGTTTCAAATTGCATCTCAATTTTGGGTGCAATACCAACAATTGTTTCACCTACTTTGTAGAATATTTCCTGTTTCCTTTGACCGATTTCCACAAACTTGGGCTTTCTGGAAAGCTCTGGCGACGAGCAACCCGTTGGGCCCAAATCCGATAGCAAATAAAGCACAGCACCAGCGCAACAAGCTGCAGACAACGCTTCAGCGCTGGACTTGCGCCGTCACACGAAAATCGCTCGCCATTTCCATCTCCATTATCCCAGGACGCCCAATTTTTTTCGTGAAGATACACTGAGAGCTTCTGAGCCTGTTGCCGAGATCGTAGGTCGCTTGAAAAGGGGGAAACCCCGGGTCTGGATCGTTTGATTTGCACGTAGAAGTGCAAAGTGCCGTGACGTATCTTGCAGGCTTCGCAGCTGGGGAACGCAGCATCGTGCCGCGATCGGGCTTGCTGCATTGGATTCCTTGGAGTTTTCTCTTCGATTTACATACTTGGATTGTCCCGAAAGACCGATATTTGACTGAAATACGAAGGTTTGTAGCTTGGTTGTCCATGCGCACCAGTGCGTAAACTCGCCAACTTTCAAGTGCATTTTTCTGCACTGTGCAGTGTTTCCCATAAGGTCGGTTTTCGCATCTGACGGCTCTAATACGAGTATACATGATACCGGTAATACCTACAGCCGCGAACCACGTATACCCGCGTAGTGGAAAGCTACACAAGATGGGTAACCCATTTTTTAACATTTTTTATTTTTTTACTAGAGCCACGCAAACCCGTCATGTGTGAGCCATGAATAAGGGGAGTGGTGGCGTGGTCTGGGATGCTCTGCCCACCTTGGGTCTCGGCTTCATCACAACCAAGCGCGCCAATAGCAGAGAGAGAAAGAGAGAGAGACATAGACGGAGAGAGAGAGTGAGAGAGAGAGTGTGTGTGTGAGAGAGAGAGAGAGAGAGAGAAAGAGAGAGAGAGAGAGAGAAAGAGAGAGAGAGAGAAAGAGAGAGAGGAGAGAGAGAGAGGAGAGAGAGAGACAGAGATAGATAGATAGAGAGAGAGAGAGAGAGAGAGAGAGCGGGAAGGGTTGGGAAGCGAGAAAACTAAATAAGAGAACTAAATAAAGTATTGAAAAAAATGACAGAGAGAGAGGGAGAGAGAGAGAGAGCGCGAACGGGGAGGGTTGGGGGCAAGAGAGGGGGAGAGAACTAAATAAAATATAATTATATAATGCGTAAGGGGTACATATTCAGATCAAGAGAAAAGAGTAAGCAGAGCACGAGGCGTATGGCAATATGCAGCAGTGTGTGGGCAGATGTGCATACATCTTACAAAGTGTCAGTGGCCCAGTGCCATTGTTGTTGTTGTTGTTGTTGTTGTAGAAGTTTATTTAACGTCGCACCACAAACAGGCGATTTCGCCTCCTTTGATACATGTGGACGACAGAAGGAATGAGAGAGAGGGGGGGACAGAAGTATGGAGAGAGGAGGGTAGAAATAAATAAGCAATCAACCTCAGGGCTACACCAAAGCAAAAACGGAATGGGAACATACTATATACAAAATAGCTTCATACATATATTGCAAAACACGTTTACTATTCTTCAGTCCGCTATACCACAGAAACACACTAGCCGAAAAGCATTTAAACGGAGCCATGATGCGCTTTTAGCAGGGCACAGAACTGAAGGTGGCTGGGCTCGGAACGGAGATCAGGCGGGAGCTGGTTCCACAGGACTGCGCCGATGAACTGCATGGTCGCTCGACCCGCAGGACCGGGCCAAAATGGTACTCGAACGAGGTGATGTGCTGCTCCCCGAGTGCGGTCACCAGTAACTCTCACGAAGAAGCTGGTGAAGAGGGAGCTAGCTCGGGAGAACAGACAACGACGGACAAAGATGAGGAGCTTATTGTTAAACATGTCCTCCAGGGTGGTGAGGCGGAGCTGTTCAAAGATCGGGCTCGTGCGCGACCACGGTGGCAGACCGAAGAAGCCGCGGATAGCGCACTTCGTTAGACGTGTGAGGGGCTCCATGTTGCCAATTTGAAGTGACGGATAAAAGGCGTTGGAAGCGTACGACAACCTACCCTGGATCATCGACCTGTAAAACAGGATCTTTGACGCCAGGGTGAGGCTTCGGCGGCTCCGCCACAGCGCACCTACTGACTTCCGCACCTGCTGGATTGTGTGATTGACGTGAGGCTCCCAGGAGAGCTGCCCATCTACCATTACGCCCAGGTACCGCGCTTGTTCCACAACTGCAAGGGCTGCATTCCCACAGCGAATTCGAATGTTATCTGTGTCAGGGGCTGGGCCTCTTGGGGTAATCAACAGAGCTTGCGTTTTCTTTTGGTTCAGCATTAGCCCGCGGTCCTCCAACCACTGCGACAGGCCAGTGATGGCTGTGCTTAGAGAAGAGCACACTTGTTCACAACTGCCCGAGGCTTCAATTGCAATGTCGTCTGCAAATTCCTGGTTTGTGACCTGCTGGGGCAAGCAGCATCGAAGGTTACGGATGTATAGTGTGAACAGGGGGCCGAGGACGGATCCTTGCGGCACCCCTCGACTTTGCTGGGCACGGAGGTGCCGGAAGACAGACACTTTGACACTTTGCAGCCGTTTCCGGTCAGGTGAGGACCAGGCGCGCCAATAGCAGAGAGAGAAAGAGAGAGAGACGCTGAGGCTGAGGACGGCAGGTGGCAGGGCATTCCATACAGGGAAATCACAGGCGGGGAAAGCTCTACGGCAAATTTCCCGGCTATTGACAGGTAGCCCTGTCTCAAGCTGGTAGTTATGCATGTCGAGACGGACGAGAGAGACGAGTTGGTCGAACATGGGCTGGTCGGGGGGCTTGAGAGGGAGGCAAGAGCTGACGAAGTGGGCTGGTAGGATTCGAGCACAGTAGCTTGTAAATGTAGGTACACGCAGCTACCATGCGCCGGATAGACAGGCTTTGCAGCATTGCGCCAGGGCCAATCAAGTGGAGGGCTGAGCCCTGCGTCTGGCCAAGTCGCTGCAAGTGACAATTGGCTGCACCCATCCAGACCAATGGGCAGTACTCCATTACTGGGCGTACAAACCCACGGGACACTGTAGCTCGGCTGCGAGAATCCAGGAGCGGCGCGGCCTTCCGCAGGAGCCCGAAACGCTGGCGTGCTCTGATGGCGATGGTACGGAGGTGGTTGCGGTGGGAAAGTTGGCTGTCCAAGGTTACCCCAAGAAGCTTGAGGTTATTCTCTCCATTCAGCGGGACACCCGCAAACTGTACTGCTGGGAGGTCCCAGGCGGGAACATACATTAAATTTAGAACTCACTGATCAATCACGACCCCTGTAACCCCTGTGACTAGGAGAACAGTCACAAAGCCTTGAACACCAATAATAGAGATGACCAGGTGGTTGAGCTATAGAGAAAAACGGGGAGAATATAGCAATAATATTAATAAAGAAGGCGAATGAATTCATGCGGCAGGTGGGAGCAGTAAGACACGAGGTAGCCTACAGCTTTATTGACTTTGCTACAGATATAGTTGACATGTCTACTAAACGATAAGTCTGAGTCAATGACCAAACCAAGATGCTTGTGTTGTTTTACCACTGCTAGGTCTGTGAGGGATCCGGGAAGAGTGAATGCATAGGTCGGCTCTGAGTTCGGCAGGAATATTATCTCAGTCTTGGCGATATTAAGTCTTAGTCTCCAGGTAGTCATACACTGATGGCCTTCTTTGATACCGCGCTGGTGACTGTCTCGCAGCCTGTCTAGACTCTCATTAAACCGGAGCAGTACAGTATCGTCAGCAAATAAGGACACACCTTCAACATGACTGGGTAGATCATTAACCCTTTCTAAGCCGGGGCCCCTTTTCTCCAAACGGCCGGCTGTCCAGTGCACTGACTCTCTTGGTGTAGTTTGCGCGCACAGCTCTGAATGGAATTTATTCTCATTTCACTCCACCATGATGGATTTTCATCATCCTGGGCTCATTGGAAAGATCAAGACCAAGTGAATCCATCATGGTAGATCTCAGCAACATATACACATCAGGGCCACTTCCACCTCCTCTCCGAACTACTCCACCGTGCCTGGGAACGGCACAACAACTCAATCTCACGTTCTTGTTCGGCATCTTGCCCAAATTCAACCGGTTTTCACGATTCGAACTGCGCTGCAAAGCTGAGATCCAAGCGCTTCATTTGATGTCCATCACGCATGCGTTGTGCCAAAGGGAAATCCCCTAGCACGCTCCCAAAACCTGCGAAGTCATGAACAAAAAAATTGTGTTCGGTCCGGCCCGTGATTTTGGTCTACGCACTGAACAAAAAAATTCGTGTCGCTCCGGCCCGTGATTTTGGTGTTCATCCAGTCGCCGCTCAGTGATTCTTTATCCCATCGCAACGAACGTTATATCCACGGAAAGATGAGCTCAAGTCCTTTCCAACGGTGCATTGA